GACATAAATAGGTAAGTTTTCACCAAATTTCATAAAAAGATTTTTTATTGTAAAAAAAAACGTAAAACTTGGTTATTTGAATTGTTCACAAAAATTTTGAGGTTTTGTGAAAAAAGTGTTAATACAAAAGTTGTAGATCTTTTTATTCCCTACAACTTTGCCATTTAACTTTTTTCTATAGGACTTGTAGTTTTGCCGGATATCAAGATAAACCGTTTTTTACCCTTAAAAACTCACCCCCCGCCCACTTCCTGACCTCAGGTCGCCCGTATATTTATTTTCCATTCATTTTATGTATTCTCTTCCTTTTCCAATGGGTTTCATCCTACTACTTATTTTTTTTTTGATTTCAAAAATTATCGACCCTGGTCTATGAGTATATAAATGACTTTATTGTTATGACAGACATGCTTTCTATTAATTTCAGTCAAATTAGCGTAAGTAGGTTTTTTTTCTATTGCCGAATATTAGGCATTCAAACCAAATTTCTACCGAATGCCGAAGTTCGGCTCACGCTGCCGAAATTCGGTTAACCCGAATGTAAAACGAAACATAGCTACCTAATGTACTATGAAGATCTCGAGACGATGTTATAATGAAAATATCTTATACTAGCGACTCACCCTCGCTTCACTCGGGTTCGTCCCTAGCTGGGTTCCCCATACAAACTATCATCCCTATTTTCACCCCCTTAAGGAATGATTTCCGGGATAAAAAAAGGTAAAGTTTCTGAGTTTGTGATATTGTGAGTTTGTGACGTTGTAGGGGGTAATCTCTGGATATACTGAACCGATTTAGATGAAATTTGGTAAGAAGATAGTAGACCCTGGGAAGGACATAGGATAGTTTTCATCCCGGAAATCATCCTTTAAGGTGGTGAAAATGGGGATGAAAGTTTGTATGGGGAATCGAGCTACTATATTTTTCATACTATATTTTTTTTAATTATAATTAGTTTCATTAGTATAATTATTAGGAAGCTTAAAGAAAAAATATATGTAATAGGTAAGTTAGTAACAATAGGTAGTGAAGGGCATTTTTCGACGATAAATTTGTCGTTAATCTGGCGAGTGTTAAGTGATTAAGCACTCGACGGGCGGTCGGCCGGTCTTTTATACGCCGATTTGTTAAACAGTTACACTGAGGGAGGAAATATTTGAAGTGCGGGCAACTGTCGATAGTTTACGATAGTTGAAATTATTTACTATACAATATAGTGTTTAATTTTCCCATATAGGAACTTGCTATTTATATTTAATTATTATTTTGTATGTTATAGTCCTTAACTGCCATTCCACAAATAACTGCTTAAATAAAGACAATGTGAGCAACAACGAGTATCATAATAATATTAAAAATATGCCATCTGACCGTCTCTCAATTATTTACACATAAAAAGATTATCCTACCTGCTTTTTGAGGGATCATTAATCTGTAGCAGCACGTTTGTATACATGTATAATGAAGTATTAGATATCGCCAGCTAACACACAGCGTCTCTGTTTAGGAGGTAAGGTGGGAAAGTGGAGGGATAATATGTCAGTAAGGTTTCTCTATCTGTTACAAAAGAAATCCTTAGAATACTCTATCCATGTACTAGATGACCGTGATATGACTATATGTACATATGTATATTACATTTTATACAGAACATTACGCAACGAATACGCCACTGTGACTGTCATATATGTAAATAGTTGGTCGCAGGCCATAGTCTCGGCCATAATCAAGATCGTATGTTAAGGTTTTAAATAATATACATGTAATATTCATTTCATTTCACTTTAAAAAACATCAACAGTTAGCAACATTATGATTTGATATCCTGTATTTTGTTTTGCAGGTAAGTCTTCAAATGTGACCAGTTTCTTAGGAAGGTAAGCATAGGTAACAAGTATTGACTAATAAAGACAACTAACAAGTAACACTTGCGATTATATTATTATAAACTAGTGTTGGCGTGCGAGGCTCTGCATGCCTGATAGGTATGTCGAGTGGGCCGTGGCAGTTGTATGGTAGGTATATCGATATGTTGTTCCTGGTACTTCTCTCGCATTTTTTTTAATTTCAGTTATATCTGTTACACCGTTATAACGTGCAGAAGTAACAAGAATTCACTTACAAATATCTGAATCTACATATAATATTTATGTTATTATAATCCCATCTTATCTTATTAATATTATCAATGTGAAAGTTTAGATGAATATTTGGATATTTGGGTGTTTGTTACTCAATCATGCCAAAACGACTGAATGGATCTGAATGAAATTTGGCACAGAGCTAGATTATAGTCAGAAAAAGCATATGAGTTACTTTTTATCCAGAAAATATGTACGGTTTCCGTGGGATAGATTTGTTTTTCTTTTTCACTAGGGATAAACCCTAGCGAAGCGAGGGGGAGTAGCTAGCTACTCTCAGCTTACGTTACACTTATATTAGTGAAAACAATTGAAAATAGGAAATTGTTGAACATACAGTAGATTAAATGTATCAAAAAAATATCGACGTTTACACTGACCAAGCACTAGTTGTAACAAATACCCAGTCTCGGTAATATTTCTTTGGGAACCTCTCGCCTTCACGCCTATAATTTACCGACGGTCAACTAATGTACAGGCGCCGATTGAAATATAAAGAGTAATTGCTATTTATTGAAACTACAGAAACGGACGTAGAAATACAATGTAATTATTTACTTATAATTGCGTCAGAAGGAATCGTCTGTTTTGCAAAATTATTATTAAATGTAATTAAACATATTTAAATCAGTTGTGATTTTGTGGTTCAAAACTCAATTTCCTTATAAAGCCTTAAAACTATAAAGAAACAAATTATATATTATTATCCTATATAGTATGTGCTTATGATATTATTTCTCGTTGCTAATCTATGCTAATATTATAAAGAGGTAAAGTTTGTGAGTTTGTGACCCCCTACAGGGGATAATCTCTGGATCTACTGAACCGATTTAGATGAATTTGGTAAGAAGATAGTTTGGGACCCTGGGAAGGACATAGGACAGTTTTTATCCCGGAAATCATATCTTAAAAGGATGAAAATGGGGATTAAACTTGGTGTGGGAAAGCCATCTAGGGACGAACCCGAGCGAAGCGAGGGTGAGTCGCTAGTGTAAACTATATTTTAACTTTTTTCAAATAGCACTTTATGTACACTGCCAGAATAGAAAAAGTTAAATTAAATGATATGTAATATTTTATCGCTTTCGAAGACAAGACGTAGATATAGAGAGAGGTAAACATAGGATAAGTATCAAAAGAAGAACCATAAATAAACTAACTAATCAAAATTATTGTTAAATCTTTCATTGAGACATTTATGGCAGTAATAAATCGTCTTAAACAAACCACTTGTATGCTTGCCCATGCTATAAAAGAGACATAAAACAGTGAAGAAAACAATCGATTAGGTTAAACCGTAAACGAGCAATCCTAAGAAGAAATAGTCCACAGAAATGGCAATAAGAATTTCTGGTAATGATTTTATGTATTTAATATATTTTACTATTTTTGAGTTGACTTTTGAGATATCATATAGGGTGTCGTGATATTTAGTGCGCAACGTCATCCGTAAAAAGAAGGTTACTCTGAGCATAGTGAGTAGTACTGGATTTTGTAACTGATGAGGCTGAGACATACATAACAAATTTTTACACCATACGGCTCATGTATATTGAGCGATTCTATGTGAAAATTTATATCACGTTTATATTGAAACGATTATAATACGACAATCAATCCGAAATCAAAACATAGATATGCACAAAATTTAAATATGTATAAATAATGTAAACGGAGAGTGATTTGCAAACATTATTTAAATGAACGCGTTTTGGTCCCGTTCATCAATGCAAAATGCGATCGATAACGGCACTAGTTAAAATAAATCTCATATGTATATTTTGTGGACATCTATTATTTTTATTATTCCTATATCATTAGTAGTGTGATGTGAAAGTACCTAATTAAAAAAAACACTTAATCTGTTTCTTTTGCAACATTGCAATTAAATTTTTTCTTCTTAGGAACAGAGTATCGCAATAAGTTAGGTGCATTTTAGGATGATATGGCCCCCTTGTGCCCACTTGCGATAACGCCCAGTAACGTGTGCTGCTCACGACATGCACTACGTGATTGCCAATTCTTAGAACGTAAAGGTTAATAATAGTAAAAAAGTTTTTCTACTATTTAAGAACGAAGACGTAGAATTTTTTTGTATGATTTTTAACATGGCATTTGTTAAATAAATTTGATTCTTTTAGTTTCACTGCTCCCAGTGGATTGCTCTAAGAAATGTATAGAAAACATTCAAAATATCTTTGTAAACAATGAGATGAGAACATAATTCAAAATCACTCACAAACAAATATAATTTTTTTGTGTTGTACCATCTTTAATTACTAATTATTTAATGGAGTAAATTTTTTTTGTAAGATAATTATATATACATTCTTTATAAAATGTATAAATTAGTAATATATTATAAAGTTTACGGTGACATTTTGTCCTGAGGCTTCCAAGACGTGACCCTCCGCCACAGAATGCCAACCTCCTAACGAGTTTTTGAAAGCTCCCTACAACGAAACCATCTTAAAGGGATTTGCACTTTGTTAGTAAATTATTGTCTTGTAACAGATATGACCAAGAATTTTATTATAAATACTGCTACTACGTTATAAACTTTAAGAAATAAATCAAAATATGTATTTAATTTTATTATAATACTTAGTCCTTTCTTCATTATAGTTTAGAAATTATCGGATTATTCAAATGCATCTCGTAATTGTTTTATAAGTTTATGCCAGAAACTCTGAATCAATCAATCAATCCACGAACTTAATTTCTACGTGTAACATTAGAAGGCTTCCACTTACGTTGATGATGAAGATAAGCAACGTAAGCTAATGCATGCATTATTACCCAAGTCGACCGTCTTCGAGATCCGCCAAATCCGTCGATGATCCGTCCATTAAGTATTCATCTCGCGACATTAGAGGCTGCCGTTATTAAAACCACCTGTAAAGCCCACACTCCTGCATATTGCGAGTTGTCGACTCTCCACACGTACGGGGGGTCCGTCCCTTCCGCCCTTGTGACTTTTGTCTTGAATCTCGGCGCACGTCTTGGACATCGGGGACACGTCTTACAGAATTAATAATAAGCCAAGAAGCCGGCTGCGGTTTGAGCCGCAATGTGCCGAAATTTCTACCCTCATTACTGGTCCTCTGCACTCACCGCGCGCGCCAAACTTTCGACGTTCGCGCTCGCGTTCCACTCTTGTTTATCGGTGTTGCCGACATCTTGTAACGCGTTTTAATAGTCAAATTACGAATGTTCTAAGAGCTGTGATTTTAGATATAATAGGTTTTGTGAACGTTTGCAGAAATTATTAAACTGTTATGTTGTCTGTGATGTTGTCGTTTTGGAAAGTTATTATACTAGACAATCACTTAACTATCTTTCTCTAACATATGCTTTTCGTTTTACGTGATATTAGCAAAGTAGTGGCGTCGAAGTAAGACTTTTAAAGCTAGAAAAATGTATAGGATATGTAAATTTTTTCTATGTTTAGGATGGTTTTTTTTTGAAATTTGACTACGTAAAGCTACTAGGTTTAAAATATTTGTTCTTAAAATTAAACAATATGAAAAGTTTAACGAAAGGCAAAGATTGTATACAAAAACAAACACACAAAAAAACTTACAACTTAAATTATTCATATGCTTCCTTCATTATATTCGTATACTATTTTTCATAGATATCTTTTATTAAATATGTAAGAAAACATTTATGAATTAAAATAGTTAAAGAGTAAATAATTCTTCTCATAATTACCTTCCAATTTCTACTTCACTTACCTATCAAATTTAACTTCAGCTTAGTTATAAAATTTAGAATTATATTCAACGACATCATTGGCGTAACTGTCCTCTCAAGATTTTTATTGTGCTTGAACAAATTATTCATTAATGTGATATAAATACTGAATAAAATTGTGTTTAAATAGGTATTACAATTATTCGCACAATACGTTTATTTATAATACTTTCTTAGATTTACGCGAATATTAGGAATTTGAAATAAAACTATTTTTTCGGATTATGTCGCGGATTAATTTATTTATTTTTGGTTCCCGACGTTTCGAATGCTTTACAGCAATCATGGGCACGGAAGAGACTAAGGTTATAGACGTCTCACCTATATCTGTCTACTTTTTAAAGAATACTTCTATACATATAATAAAATTGTAACGAAGCCGAATCTGTATATTAAATATTTTTTGAAAATCTTATTGAAATAGATATTATTATCGATACAGAGGCCGAATCTATAGTTTTTAGAATTTTTGTCTATCTGTCTGTCTGTTACCGCATCACGGAAAAACCACTGGAGGGATTTTCATGAAATTTGTTGTGATAGTGGCTGGTTATCCGGGTCAACGTATAGGATATTTTTTAATGCGAGAAAATAACTCATCTCTGAGAAATCTATACTAAGCGCTAAAATGTAAGGAGAGACGAACCCGAGCGGAACGAGGGTGAGTCGCTAGTATCACATAAAATACGACTCAAAGACAGTTATAATCAAATAAAGATCTAACAACAATGTTAACAAGTATCAACCCTGTTTCCAAAGGGTTGTATTGACAGTGTTGTTCGCCTCGGGTTACTTGAGGAAACAGTCAATCTCAATACAAGTTGTCGTGTTGGTGTATGTTGCTACAAATTGTGTAAATGGTCGAGTGAATGTTTTTATTTTTGGCAGAAAACTGAACTGTAACAAATACTATGTTTCATACTTTGTACAAAATTATGTTAAATATTTTTGCATGAAAAATAGCAAAGAAAAACAGTCTATAAATAGGCTGCAAATATTATATTTTCCATACATTCTTGAAGGAGTTAATTTTTTGTATCATAAGTAGATAATATGTAAGTATATAACAATAATATGTACATACAAAATGAAAATCACTGTACTCTCTAAACATGCCTCCCTAATAAAAGCACTTTTATTACTATAATTTATATAACTTTTTGTTTAAATTTCATGGGGTACATATTATAATTTCTTCGCACAAAAGATATCTTATTTATTTCCTTAAGGTACATCCGTTAAAGGAGCAGATATTCATAATAATTTCACGAAATGTAGGGTGAAAGTATCTAAAATCAAAAGTTCGTTTAAATTTCAATTACTTATTCGTTCGATGCGTGTGCTGCATGCGAGGGTCTGTAGGAAATGAAACAACACTTAAATTTGATTTATGCCAGAAAATATTGTGTTATTATGAATAAGTCATTGTTTTCTTAACTAGATCGCGGCATTTGTAAGGGAATATGTAAGGCTTAAATTAAAATACATACATGATGAATGGCTCTATAATGGCAACATTTACGATTCTTGAATCGACGTAATTTAAGAAATTATTATATGTTTCAAATAAATGTTTTATAGATTAAATAAGAATTATATATTATTTACAACCACGACCACTGTTGTTTGGAACTGAATAGGTCTATAAAACATTCAATTTAAAACTCTACCCCTACATAAGTGAATACTAAAATCCAGTCGTAAAATTTATATTTACTACCTTACCTAACCTATATTTTTAAGATATTGTCTTAAGAACCTACGACCTCGAGGTAGCATAACAAATTTTATTTCCTCCAAAAGGAACGTCCGCACAAAAACAGAACACGAAAGTTGGGCGTTCCAACGGCGTTCTCCAGTGAATTTATATCGTTTGAAAACAAGAAAACAAAAGTGGAGCCGCGCCAAAGGTACATTATCTTAACAAAGTACAGCAATTAGGTACACGTTCCACATCTGACTATAATAATTTAAATATGATAAAACAAAGTGTGTCGGTGAGGAGAAGAATAAGGCGGGCGGGCTCCTTTAACTTATTTATAAATTCTTCCTGTATTCTTGGAGACTCCAAGGCGGCGGGTCGAGGGTTAACCCTTCCCCGTATAATGCAATAAAAGGGGCACTCATATAAGTATCACCGCTTTACGTGTACTGCGATAAAGGCTTATCCGTTGCTCCTCGCAGGCGGAACGATGTTTATCGATTAGGTCTTTCTTACATATATTATCTATACATATAATAAAATTCTCAGTAATGAGATATTTTCCCGCGGTAAAAAGTATCCTATATGTTGACCAGGATAACCAGCTACCATTATACCAAATTTCTTCAAAATCTGTCCAATGGTTTTCTCGTGATGCGGTAACAGACAGACTGACAGACAGACAGACGAAAGTTCTAATAACTATAGATTCGGACTCTGTATTGATAATAATGTCTATTTCAATTAGATTTTCCAAAAAATATTTAATGTACAGATTTGATTCAGTTAGACTTTTATTATATGTATAGATATGATTTTTAATATGCTTATTAAATACAATAAAAAATAATATTATACTTATAATGATAAAAGCTTCTATAAATAGCGAAGTCAATTATGGAAGTATAAAAGTATTATACAATAACTTTTATAAGTTTATTTTCAAGATTGTTAGTAAGAATATTTAAGAAAGCAAAGTTACTAGTGAAGTGAGTAAATTAATGTTCCCAATATAGAATATATTTAAAGAAACCTTTTGTTAAACGCCACAACATTGTTTTTGCAATAGTAGATAGATAACAAGTCTTGCGGTTATCGCCTTGACAAAAACATAAGCCGATTCTATAGGCCACAATCCGTATGCCGTCTTTCTGGTGCCTGTCTCAAAGCTATAAAATTACAGATCAAAACTCTATCGACCCGGTGGCCTTTATTCAGAGTCAGCGGAGCGCACTATCAAAGAAACTCTTCTTAGGAGTTAGCGTCTTAGGGTCGGCAAGTTTAGCAAGGGTTGCGAGATGCGGGTAGGGTGGGTACGTTTTTGAATGTAAATAGTGGTGCGTGGGTCTCATATGAATTAAATTTAAGTAATTAATGGAGAAGTCGAGCTGCGGGTTCGGCCGAGCTATTTAGATCGTATCCGCTATTCGTTTTAATTGCTGTATCGCGATTAACTGTAATTACCAAATTTCTACCTGAATATAGGTAGTATTATAATCACAGAAAAAGATCAAGCATAATGATTATTTAACTTGCTTATACGGCAGTAGTCTGTGAAGGTTGAAGAGAAGGCAACAATAATTTCTTCGGCAATTTTTTTTTAATATTTGGATGTTTGTTTGCACACTTTGTATGTGAAATTTCGTGTTAAATATTTACATATATCAAAGAAAATTTTCTGTTGTTTTATATTTATCATCATTTGCTTTTGTACTTTGAGTTAAGTAAGTCAAAAGTCAGTATACGTTTGTTCATCGGAGCTTAAGGGACTGAGTAGGTCATTTATTAATTATACCAAACAGTATGTGGCGAGGGGGAAGAAGTCAACAGCTGAAGAAAGGGTGGCCATATTTTAAGATGTCGCCGTCATCTGGGAAGGAATGCGTGGTTTGGGTCCGGCCTTAATTATTTATTACTAGCTACAACACCCAATGTCTCTCGTTTGTAATCATTACATAATGTTTAAGGTAATACTGCGTGCTTTGCTTTCTTTCGCCAGTTCTTCTCAGGTCTGAGGCTTCTTCTTTCCGAACTGGTAGTAGACTCATGTCGTTCAGTATAAAATTGTAATAATTTAATGCTGAATAAAATATTTTGAATTTTGAATTTTAACAAGTAGCATATTATACATTTTATAATATAGTATTGCTTAAAAAGAAATCTTGAATCCTGTCTTTTCCTGAATTCAAGTTTGCATTATTTGCATTTGCAATCCTTCTAGAGAAAGATATATCATTGTTATTAAAATTGTAAATTAGCTATGTAATATTCTTAAGTCTTTAAAACTATGTACACTTATGTTACTGTATCAAGATTATTGCTTAATATAATGGAGAGCTTTTCAAGCTCAAAGAAATCAAGCAAAATAGAAAACTTTATATACAAAGGTTCAGACTAAAGTTAATAAGAGCTTGGGTAATCAAATTACTAATAGCATGATGAGAACACTACAGCCTCTTGAAATATAAGCAGTGCTATACGATGCTCAAGACTTAAGTTGTCCATTCCTTGGATAGCAAGACAGCTTTTATACATTTTTATTATGATAGCTAATTCTTGAAATAATGAAAAATATCGATTTCTAGCTGAATATAAATAATAAATACCGAGAATAATAATTTTGTTAAAAAATGTTTTTGTTGAAAACAATATTTCAATTTTAAAAACAATGTCGCGTAACGGCGTGTGTAACGTCTTTATACCAAAATAAATAACAATATA